TTTAGACGACGAAGAGGAAGAAGTGGAGTTAGATGAGGGTGAAAAAGATGTCGAAGGCACACATCCAAGCCCCCCTCCCTGTGCAACCCACATGTATAGGGACCCTATTCTAGAGGGAACCCCTATTGAATAAAGCGTGCACACGCTGAACCCTGAACCAGCTAACCTCGCAAAGGACATTCTTTCGTCCTCTATCGAATACACAAACCGGGAACCCTATTCTACTCCATCATCCTCTCAAAAGGATGGTAGTTTTATCAAAAGAGTCCGTTCACCCAAGGACTCGACACAACCAAGAGAGGCATCCGTTGCCCCTCCACACATGAGTGAACCACCCAGTCATGCTTCAGAGGCATGCAAGAGAATCACCGAGGCTGTGGGTCTAGAACGCCCAAAGTTTCCACTCGATCCCTCTGCCAAGTTAGGCTCTGAACCTATTAGGCACGAAATCGACAGAACACCGGTAGGCTCTCCAATTGAAGATGTCCGAGGATCTGGTGGAAGTCCCCGAGATGACAACGCCAAATCGGTCACTGAGGGTGCCTTACACTCCAAGGCTACTAGGTCACCATGTGTTGGTGATCTAGGTTCCCCGAGTGCCTATGTGACGAAGGAGGAGTTGCAAACCTTCGCCTCAGCGGTATTCCAGAGGTTGGATGAGTTGAAAAGCTTGTTATCCTCCTCTCCGACGACAGAGGCTCTTACACCTCTAACAGAGGCTCTGAAGGAGTTAACTTCTACAACTTCTGAATTCAAGGCGACCTTATCAGCCCTTCAGAGCTCTGTCCTCAAAAAGGATGATCTCACAGAAGCCTTCAAGGCGCTGTCTCTCAATCCTTCTTCCATCAACACTCTAAAGACAGAACTGACAGAGGTCGCCGCCCAATACGCTGCAGACATAGTTTCCGCCGGCTACACGGACTACTCCGCCTTCAAGAATGAAATCAAAGAGATGTTCTCCTCTGCGATCACTGTTGGCGTCGACTCCTCATCCTCCAGGGCTAATATTAACCATCTAGCCACTCGCAGAGCGCTAGACGCAATGGTTGAGGCTCTTGGAGAGACCGTGCGGAAACACCACGACCATCTTCTCAAAGAGGCCCGAGCTACTAATGAATCCATCAGAGACTGCACGAAGCAACTCATCAAAGAAGGTGACTCTTTCCGAAATGAAATATATCGCTGCGTCTCTAAAATGAAATGGGCCACAGAGATGGATATCAACACCACCACTCTGAATGCTGAAATGATAATAGAGAAGATGGAGAAGGCGGCCTCCAAAGTTCTCAGGTGCTTGAAGAAGGTTTCCCTCACCCCGTGCAAGACAGAGGCTACTCAAATCCATGATGATCAGGGAGGCAATAACCCTGATCGTCATGAGGGGGAGAAGAAGACAGAGCCAAAGAAATCGACCTCTGCCAAACCACTAAAAATAGTGGACTCTGCTGCAGCCCTATTCTCCAAAGAAAAATCTTCAGAGCCTACGGGAAAAGGCAAGGGTAAAGTAGTAGAGGAGTCGCCAAGGAAAGGGTCTAGCTCTGACACATTGGAGGAAATTAATGAAGATGAATACGACGACCCTGATCTGGTTCAAGCTCTCAAGGCGTCTTTGGCAGAGGCTCGGATGAAGAAAGGCAGAGCTCCAATCCCCAAAGTTGGAGAAGGCTCTTCCAAACTTGCCAAAATACCTGAAGAGACGTCCACGGGTACGTTCGACGCTCTGGTAGGAACAGTCAAGCCAATCTTACCAGAGGGGTCTACCCAGAGGCCTATACTCGAAGAAGACACCAGAACGCCAGAGTCTACCACAGTGGGGAGGGTCTCTGAGATTATTGACTCGATGAACAAGATTCCTACGCAGAAGATGCGTACAGAGCCCGTAACCACTGTCGAGGAGATTCTGCGGTGGCGTTACTCATCTACAGACACAGAGCCCCCATACGATCCAGAGCTAACCGAAATGCCCTCTGTCGAAGCAAAATTTCACTTCACTAAACTCACCAAGCCACCAAAGCATGTCTTCTCAGAGCATGTTATTCGTTCACTAGAAACCATTTCTCCGTGCACCATGCTAAAGAAGACCGTGTTATACACCCAATATACGGTGAAGAGGGATGATGGCAACCTATACACTTTCACAGATGCTGACCTCCACAATCTCTGTGTATTTGATTTAATCTTCTTGCACAAGATCCTAAACAAGTACATGGAGAGGAGGTCAAACTACTCGATTTCTCTCAGAAGGCTGATAGAGGTAATGCGTGCTCAAGTTAAATTCTACAGCCAGAAAGACTTCGATATTGCGATGAGGTTGGCCCAACCAGAGCTAAAGATTTCTCCTCCAAAGAACAGACCTATTTGGCTGCACAGGTTCCATCCCAACACTATTATCCACAATCCCATCTTTGGGTTTGTTTTCTTGGATAAGGATGAGATCCTAAGATTCTTCGATCCGAAAGAGGTGCACAAGTATTCAACAGAGTCCCTCGAATGGGTGTTCAACTTGGTGGTGGCAGAGGTGCAGAAAGGGCGAATAAGGGCGGATGAAGTAACGAACCTTCTGAAGATTATCAAAATACAAGTCTCATTCAGGGAATGGATATTCAAGGTCTACAAGACTGTCAAGACTGATTTGCAATATGCTGTAGACGACTATCCAGACTCTGCTGTTGAGTAATCTCTTGTAATAGTATAGGCCTGCACAATTTAAATTTTAGTTCTTTCAATAATGTAAATTCTTGCAGAGGATGAGTTTATTCTCCTCTTGTATTTTTTTCTTTTGTCAAATCTTGCACCCAACTGTCTACAATTACTTTTTTATACTTAGGGGGAGATTGTTAGCTCCATTATTCCTATCTTGTAAAAGTATATTGTAAGTCTTGACATAAGGTTATCTCCACAGAAGACAACAGAGGTCTAGCAACAGAAGCTGTTTGATCTAACAAGTGGAAAGTGGCAGAACCTCTGATGTGTCTCACAAAGGTTCTGGAAAATGGTCCTCTGTCAATAAGAACACGCAAGTCATTTACAGCAGAGCCTCTGAGATGGCTCACAGAGGGTCTGCGGATTTGGTCTTCTGTGAAGTTTCTGTTCTATCAGTTTTCAAAGGTTGTTAGCCGCATGTGCTTCTCACGTGACTAGGGAATAATCGACTTTATTTGGACGGCTCAGATGAAGACACGCGTAAGATCTGGTCTCTAAGGTCGTTAGGAACTAGTATATATAGCAGATAGGACCTTTGTAATTGTGGTGCTTCAAGTATTGTAATCGTCAAATTTTTCAATTGAATCAATTGAAAAACCTTTGGAGCAATCTTCTTGCATTCATCTTCTTCATTGTGACTGTGTGTTCTTGGTGTGTTTAATCAATTATTCACGCTGTTTTGCTCTTATTAATTCTTCCGCTGCACTTCAACTGTTTTTAGAGCTTGTTTAGAGTGTTAGATCAATATCAAAGTTGAATTCAGATCCAACAATCAACAATCACTAAAAACACAAAAAACTTTAACTTTTCATCAAAAAATGGATCAAAAACTGACTTTTTGAAGAACTTTTCCAAGAACACAAAAATTTTAAAATCCACAAATTTTACCAAATCTTGAAAATTAATGATCAAATCATAAAATGTTGTGAATAACAAAGATTCACAGAGCAATTCCGCACATTTCGATCATATTTTTAACATCAAAACATAAATATTTGAAAAAAATTGGATCAAACTCTTGAAAAATTAAGAACACAAGATGAAATTCCAAAAAATTTCTTCAATGATGTGATTTCTTCACGTTGATTTCACTGCATAACCTGCTGTGATACCAATTGTGTGTCCACAATATGATCAATCTTCATAAATTTCTATGAATTCAATGGCAATCTTCAAATAATCATAAGAACACTTGAAGGAGACATGAGAGGAAAAGTTAATCTGGTCAAAGTCTATTAATCTCTCAATATGTACGTATTATTACAATGAAGCTCTTCTCTACAATTACACTACAAGACAAAACTATTTATAAAGTCAAACAATAAACCATTCTAGTCAAAATCAACATGACAAGGAAAGTCAAAGACGCTAACTATACAATTATAGACAATTATTGAGTTTCAAGACGAATACAATTTAACACTAAAATTCAGACTCAACACTTTGGTAAAAATCTCTTATCCTTTTAACTCGAAAGCATCTTGAATACGGAGAAACTTCACTCGCTCAAAAATATGTTATAATTAAAGAATATAAGAAACCCAATATACAACATATATATTATTTACTAATTACAAATAAGTCTTCTAAACCATAAGGGTGGTGTCTGATTGGTTTGAGTTTGGCTTCAAAGGTCAAAAGTACCAGGAGATCTCAGGTTCAAATTCAAATAGGAATAAAAATCTTCTTGTGGTCATGGAGGTTCAAATACGATGACTCCGAACTATCTACAAAACAGGTGGTCGTTCTAGAATTAGTTAGATCGCATAGTGGGTTGGATATTCAGGTTAATAAAAAAGAAAGTCTTTCAAATAATTGATGGGCTAACCCTTTGTAAATCCAACAAGGAAGAAACCAAACTTTTAGGTTAAGAGCTAATGTATGTGAGTTTGATTTGTAAATATATGAAAACTATATTACCTAAAAAGAACCAAGCTCGTTCAATCTAGCCATCCAAGTTACCCGTAACTACCAAACTGACCACAATAAATACATATACCAAGATTGCAATTTAATCATGACATTCGGATTTCGGACACATCTATTTTGCTACACAACCTAATTAATATCTATGTTTAGTTATTTTCATGTAAGAATGGATTTACAGCAATTTGTATTGTATTGATGACTTGTTGTCACATGTATTAAGCTTGAGATCGCTACAAATATTAAGCACCCACAAAATTTCAGAGATAACAATGGGCATGGCTCGGTATTCTGCTTCACGAGAAACATCCGACTTCTTACTTTTTCACAAAATTAAGGAACCACCCAAGAACAAACAAGTACCGAAGATAAACACGAATCCATTGACATTCAATGATGATCCATAACGATGTTGCTACTATTTGCTGAACTATTATCCGTTGTCAAACAATCATTTTTCATAAGTATGTTAAATGGATTAACAAGTGCAATAGACCGAAGCATTTTGTCATACAAAAACACACATGTTCCACCCTTCTTTCTAACAATATTCTGATAGTTGCCATAAGTGAAGTGATTCAAATCCGCATTCCATATTCCTAATTGTCGAAAAAAAAGGAAGAAAATTCTTCTAACCACACATCTCAATTTTATGTTTTGGATAGTTTGAAATTCAGCTCCTCTATCTACAGCTCATCCTGCACACACATATCAATTACAAAAGGAAGGATGAGAATGCAGGTTTATGTAAACAAAATTGCATCACATTCATCTTAAAAACTTTCATCATATTTACCTTCACATCGCTTTCTTCAGCTTCTTCATCGTCCTCCACTTCAGCATCATCATCGTTATCGACCTGAGAAACACATGTTCTCRTTATCAGCCTTTYAWGATCAAACAAATTTTACTGTGAATCTAAAAATWAAAGGCAAGAGAGAGAAAGCTTACATCAGAATCAGCTGGATCATCCTTTGATTCCTGAAACCGGAATAAGGTAAAAAGTTTAGAAAAAGGGCCTATAAGACCTCTTCAAGACCTCTTCCAGCTTGCCATTGCTGTGCTTTGTTTCACTTCGGTACTACTATGTCTCCGTCCCAAAATATATGTCAATGTTTCTATTTTAGTTTCACAAAATAGGTGCATACTTTCCAATTTTACCCTTAATTATGAGATGGAGAAATTCATTATCTCCATTATTCAGGGTAAATTGTCWTTTAGTTAATTAAAAGGTGTAATAATTACTTGTATTTCTAAAACTCTGCCTTTTTTTTATTTTCGGACAGAGGGAGTATTTGTGTGCCTTGCTTTTTTGTAGCTTTACCCAGCTTTCTTCGGTTTGCTGTGTTTTATCTCTCAATTTGTTTTARTTTTCCTCAGTTCAATGAAACAAAAATTACTGCTAAAAAATTGTATTATAAATCTTTGTATAGGCATCGCAGTCACCATAACAATATCCACACTGATTTGATACTATTTACAAGAGAAAGGTCAATTATGAAGATAATGAGAACAATACCTCTTCCTCCTTTTTCTTTTCTAGCTCTTCAAATGCTGCCTTCTCAGCCTAAGAGGAGCATAATAATAATAATAATGAGCAAGGAGAAAATGCTAATATGACCATTAAGTTTATAGATATATAAGCAACATACATCTTTTTGTTTGCCCCATGTTTCTTCTGCCACTTGTTTGGCATATTCAGGATCATCACATATCAAGACATTGTCAAACAGAGTTCCAGATTTTACCTGAAAGTTATATATCACGCTTGCTTGAGCATTTATACCTCAGAGATGCACATTGAGGCAACAAAAAACAATTACCTGCCACAGCTCTATGCCAACATACTTCAACTTGGGGAAAACATAGAGATCAGGGTCATCCTTAAAATCTAAAAGTAAGAGAAAGAGAATCACAGTCAATGGAAACTAGTTCACACAAGAGAGAATCAGATATGTGCTTTGACTTCAAAAATCTAAGGAAGGAAACCTGGGTTGTCAATCATAGGTGCCTTCCACTTCCCTTTGTAGTTGGGGTTCTTGATTTTCTGTCAAGGGGAAAACATTCTTATGAAACAACTGTTCCTTRTTAGCATGAAAAGGGTTGTGCATTGAAAATAATAGTTCACAAACCTTTGCCTTCCATGGACCSTTGTACTCAGGGTTTGGAATAGTTGGGACTGTCCACTCGCCATCTTCCTCATCATCCCAGTCTTCTGGCTGAAAWTTTAGCWCATCTTAATCAGGAATTAAYWAATARGGGATTAAACCAGGATGTAAGATGAAAAATGCATTACCTTTTTGGCTTCTGGGTCTGCAATCTCCTTTGGGATGTCATCRTAACCCTGATAAGTAGAGAAAACATTCAGTTTTAGATTCATTTGGATCTTAGGGAGAAAATCAGAACATATRGTTWTTTTACTACCTCTGGTTTCTTGTCCTCAGGRTCGGCAATGAACTCCTTCTCATCCCAATCTTCAGGCTGTCATCATCAATGTGAGAGTGAGTGAGCATTACTCCTATAATTGCACAAACAAATCATTTGTATGAAAGTACCTTTTTGGCCTCTGGGTCCTTTATTTGCTTTGATGGGAGAAGATCCCAATCAGAGTACAAGCTTCCTGTTTGTTTCTCTTCATTGTCAATGAGGATACTGTAGGTTGCRTCAGGGWRGAGTATGAAGGTATAAACATGTGTAAGCTGGTCAGTCTCACAAGGAACATCTTTCTTGATCAATTTGTTTTCCCCATTGTATGTAAGAATTGCATGGACTTTCTTTGTGGCATACCCACAGATATCAGGTCCAAACATGATACTGCAGTCAACAAWCWTATCAAACTATGAGCAATAATAACAAGATRAAACTTTMCAGAYAGGAGGYCTGYAYRCTGYAAAATACCAACCTATAGGGGGTATCGCCRCCAAACTTCTTTTGGTCCACATCACCACTAAGCAACTTCATGTAGCCACCACCACAGTCAAGCTTCTGCTCATGCTTGACAGAAAATTGGAAGACTAGTGTTTTATCCTTATTGCTGAATTCAGGGTACTCAGCAGATATGGCATAAAACCTGTAGTCTTCACTGGTCTGTACACCTATTACCAGAAAGTTGGGGTCAGCAGTTGATGAATTTAAAAAACATCCATTTTATTCAGAGTGCCCTTTAAAAACAAAGTGGTAAAAGGTTACCTTTATCATTGGCATCTCCATTCCATTTACCAGAGGTGTAATTCCATTCCCCCGCCATGTTCTCGTCTTTCTTCCAATCAGATTTAACCCACCGGCTTTCCCATCCATCTGATGAAATATCATCAAATCAAAGATGTAAATTTACAGCAGCCAAGCAATGGTGAATCCACATGAAAGTGGAATTTATACTATATTTTACCCAATCTACATGTTGAAAGTTGATAAATTCCGAATCAGTCAGCTGTATGTTTATTTTTCCTTAAAACTGTCAAATTATAGGGCGATTAAGTTTTGCACAAGCCACATGCTGAAGCTGATAAATTGCTTAAACTAAAACTGTCAATTTTTCAAATGACATGGATATAGAATTGTTGCCAGCCAAATGTAATATACTGGATAATTCAAATCAGAACAACAGACATTCATGATTGCACATAACAGCAATTTCACGATGCCGTAAGACACTTGAATCGACTAAAAGGTAACAGTGTATGTAAAAAAATGATTCCAACGCACCTAACAGTGTAATATACTGGATAATTCAAATCAGAACAACAGACATTCATGATTGCACATAACAGCAATTTCACAATGCCGTATGAGACTTGAATCGACTAAAAGGTAACAGAATCAATTCACAGGGACAGATCAAGTTAAAACTAAGTTACTCAAGCCTACAAACAAGTTCATATGAGACAAATTCACATTAATCTCGATTCTTGTACCAATTTATCTCAACGATCAACTACAAATTTRCATTCCACTWACCGAAACCTAATAGATCCAGCTATCGTAGATTAATATCCAACTAAATCAAACGCCAAAAAGGATTCATAGTGAAAATGCAGYTTAATTAGAAAGAAAGGRATTACCGTCAAAACGTTCCTCGAAGAASACTTTAGCAGAAGCGATCGAGATGAAGAGTAGTAGGGAGAGAAAAGCGATACCGCTAGGGTTTAACCTGTGTGTCGCCATGGGCAGAGAGAGTGAGATCGCTCGTCTTAGACTAGAGAGAGAAAGAGAAAGAGAGAGAGTGGGGAGTTTATAAGTAATTACGTTTGGATCAGCGTCAAGTTTTACATGGGAAGAGAGCGTAGGATGATGTGGACGAATTAGAGCTGGACATGTCAGATTTAGGTGTCACACTTTGCAACCTGGCGGAAACTGATTGGGTGTTGATACAAGCCGGCCATGACATACATACATAATACTGAATTTCCCATATTCCCAAGGGGTATTTTTGAAAAACTTACGTCTTGTGTGCCGGCTCGGTCTGAAGTCGATACCTTCAATTTCCTACTTTGTTTCATTTTCGACCATTAATCCAATTTGCTACTTCCTAATTTATTTTATGATTTTGTGTGGTTCTAAATCCTGAATCAACATAATATAAAGTTTAAGTTGAATACAATTGTTTGGCCAACAGGAGCCATATTCTTCATTTTTGTTATAGCTGTTGTTGGGCTCGTTGTTTTTTTAATTTGATGTTCTATTTGACGCTTTCGTTTAAACCCGTTTTGTTGCTCCACCAGTTGCAGCAAGAGTATCATTTCTGAGCAAGACCATAGGAAAATCTAGGGTTCGTTGGAATATGCACTTTGCTTACCCTGCCTAAGTCAAAAGGTACAACCGTTTACGGAATGCCTTGTACAAACAGGGTCGGCCCCGGTTATATATTTCTTATGTTTGTTTAAAGTTAAATGAAAACTATTGCTATTAATTGATCTAGTTGTTCATCGAATCAATTCGTTCTGTGATTAATATTCAAATTATCATCCACACCGATTGTTCTAATCCCATTAGATTTTGATGTATATTAACACAATTTCAGCAACTATAATATAGTTGAATAGACCTATAAATGTGCAGAAGTTAAGTGATGATTTGCCCTCTATTGAATGTGCAGTAGCTAATTCACTTTAAATGTTCTCCCTTAACTTTGCAATTTTACATATGAAACTCATGATTGTTATTGGTCAAGACCCTAAATATGATTATATAAAACACATGATGGACTAATAGAGTCATGCAATAGATAATTTCATAGACAAACACCTTAAGTGACTAAAACTAGTAGGAGAACAAAATTAGTGAAATAGGAATGGGCCATTGATGTTGTAGAGTGTAAATAATTGAAGAAGAATCAACCAATTAAGTGTTTGGAGTTGGATTGAGAAGGTATGAGTGTTGATTTTGGTTTATATATAAGACATAGGATGTAGTAAATGGGGACAAGTAGATGAGTTGGTGTTATGATGCTCTTTATTTTGGTTTTAGACAAGTAGATGAGTTGGTGTTTAACTGCAATGGCTATAACAACTTTAATAACGAAATCTTAACATATTATTTTAAAGCAAACACTCAACCATAAAATCACACTTGTGAACAAAAAACACTAATGGATCTCTCAGTCTATGAAGGAAAAAGCTAGACAATTATGAATTACCATACTTTTTTTTTATTAACCTGGATATCCAACCCGCTATGCGAGCCGACTAATCCCAGGGCGACCACCTGCTTTGCAGATAGCCCGGAGTCACCGCATTTGAACCTCCGTGGCCACAAGGGGATTTTTATTCCTCCTTGGATTTGAACCTAGGACCTCCTAGTACTTTTGACCTTTGGAGCCAAGTTCAAATCAATCAGGCATCACACTTGGATGTTTTTAATTGGGCATCATTTGGACTTTTAGCCCTGAGCACCAAAAATCTCAAGATTGGCCCTGTGTACAAATGGTTGATAATCTTAGGGCACCTAATGAGTAGTTAAATATTGAAAACCTGGTCCCTAAAGGTATTGAGGCTTTTGGTCATCCTAAAAGCTTACAGGAACAAGATTCAAATCTAGCGATTTCTGGATGTTGGGCTGTAGAGAATTAGCAAGATAATTTTGGAGACCTTGGCTCCCATGCTTATAGTGTTCATCATGGACATTGGTAATTACTTCATTAGGTCGACAACAAAAGGACTCTTTTTTGTCCATAATCAAAACAAATAAGGGTTTATCTTAGCACTAATTCTAACACTCAGAAACATATAACAACATAAAGATTCATTACACCTATCTTTATAAATTTCTCTAATATAACATTGTTGATCCTCTCTCTCAGTGATTTGATGATAATCCCTTTTTCCTTTCGATGTATTTTATGTTTCTGTACTTTTCAGTTCCAGCGATCAATACACTGAGCATGTTCAGTGATCGCTGAAGAACTCGCATTGTAATTCATTCAGAGACAACTAYTTCAAGAAAACAACACTCACACCAAAGATCCTTCAGCAAACGTCGAAGACTGAAACTGAAGATTAGAGACTGGCACGTACGTGATCTGAAGCGGTATTCAGTGATTACAAACCTGTCTAGCTATATGTGAAGACTGCTCTAGCTTCAGCGAATGATGATGAGACCTTCAGGTCATTCCAGCATTCAGCGATCAAAGGAAGCTTGCTTAGCACGATTGTTGTTGTTTTGTCCTTGCACACACAAAAGGACAAACCCATACCCTTACCAAAGATAGTACGGTACGGAGCCGATTAATCGACTCTTTGTCCACCAACTTTAGGTAATGATGTCTGTTCATAAATAGTGCTTTTGTACTATTTACTGTGACAAAGGACAAGTCTTCCTATTAAGGATTGACACGCACTCTAACCCTACCTTACTGCATTAAATGAACATTTAATGCACTGGGTATAAATAGAAGTGTTTCTTCTCCATGCAGAGTGCACGCATCACTCTCTATCCTCATTCTTACTTCAAGCTTCTTTCAGCTTAAAGTAAAAGACTTTCTTTTAGCAATATCTTTTCTTGTATTTGCTAACCTTTGTGTGTAACTTAAGATTGTTTAGATAGGTTTCTTATACCTTATCTTTCCGCAAACAATCTTGTAAAATCTGTATTGATCTTCTCTATCAATATATATTTTAAATTTGAAAATTGTGTTTGTATTCATCTCCCCCTCCTTCTACAAACTGTTTAGTATTCTTGTAGACCCTTTTGGGACCAACAAACATTCTATTTTTACTTTTCTTATTACAACAATGTACTTTCAAAATATTTTTTTATTAGGGCATTGTACTTTCAAAAATTTACCCGTTATAGCATTGGGTAACCTTTTAATTTAAATTTACCCATAATAATCATGTTTCTTTGTCACCTCATCGTCCACGTAGGCTATCAGCATGTATGATAGTGCTGACATGACATTTCTTATTATAGTATTTTACTTTCAAAATTACTTTATTATAACATTATCAATTCCTATTACAACATTGTACTTTTAATTTTAATATTTTTTATCATTTAAATATTATAAATTTAATCAAATATGTTTACTAAAAATTATAATAAATTTTATTTGAGATTATAATATCGTTTTTTTATTTTGTTTTTTGACATATTATAGAAGGCAAAAAACACTTACATCGAACAGTACATGAAATTTAATCTTTTTTATTTATTTATCATTATGTAAGTTTTTTTGTTAAATTAAATATTATATTTTTAAATTAAAAAACTCTCTCTTAAAACTCTGCAAACATATCAAAATAACTAATGCATACAAACATCACCAATACAATTTCATGTTATAATTTTTAGTAAATATTATGATTAAATATACAATGTTTAAATGATAAAAATATTAAAACTAAAAGTACAATACTGTAATAGAATTTGGTGATGTCATAATAAAGTAATTTTGAAAGTACAATGTTGATGTTCCCAAAATCATACAAATCAGATTAAATCTTCAAGAACTTAAATCAAGATGAGTTGAAAGAGATTTATCACCAAAGTTGAATGTAATATTTCTTGAGAGAATTTCTACAAGTGATTAACAACAACTAATCTGGAATGAACTGAACTAATTACAATTAGCAAACTACAGACTATTTATACTAAGAAAATAGTAAAGACTAACTATTACAAAACAATTACAATCGGAGAACTTGAATACAATCTTTTAAGCACATCCTTGAACCCAACAATCTCCCCCTTTGAATTCAAGATCGAGATATTGTAAATCTAGTCTTTCTAAGCCGAAGAAGTGTCTCTAGCCTCCTTAGTGCACTCCGATACTGCAATTTATCATCAAGCTGGTTCAAGGCATTTATCAGAAGATACCTCTCTTTAGGACTCATTCTCTCTGACTCCGTAGCTCTATCGTTGTCAGTTTTTCTCGTTTCAAGCGCCCGTCTCACCATTCGTATAGTGCCATCATAGTATTTATTCAGCTCACTGAATCTCATGAACTTCTTTATCCGACCTTCAGCACTAAACACCACACCGAACTCCGGTTCTTCAAGAATTATATACAAAGGATAGCCTTCAATATCTTCTACCTCTTGATCTGGTCTCTTCAAGTTAATGATTCTCTGATTGTCTTCAAGACCTATTTGAACATCAAGAACCATTGATACTTTGACATGTGTTGGTCCCGTAAAGGTCTACAAGAATAGAAATAGTTTGTAGAAGGGGGGATGAATACAAACACAGTATTTTCAAATTTAAAATATATATTGATAGAGAAGATCAATACAGATTTTACAAGACTGTTTGCGGAAAGATAAGGTAA